CGTGGTACAAAGAAGCATCAATCTGGGATGCTCTGGGCGCTCCTGGCACGCAATTATCATGTACCCAGTTTCCCCGGGAAACTGGGGTTTGCAGAGGAGACTTTCTGCCATTTTTACATTGTGCATGTATTCGTTATTCCCCCCCATACTAAGCTGTCTTACACCAAGACCTTCGGGAAACCCCTGCTGTGGGGGTGTTTACAAGAGTGCTACATGGTTATGTCGCTCATTCCTCCTTTCCTGCACACTTTGCTGTTCCCCTGCGCTGTACTCCTTGCCGTGAAACGTGCTGCCATCCACCCTCCCTTCAATGCACCAGGCTTACCCGGCTTCAGCCCTTCACATCCAGCCTTTCCCAGCCCTGATGACCGGGCAGAGCGGCCCAAAAGCGACCACCATCCTCCGAAGCAGCTGCACCGTATGGGGGGGATCTGCCCTGCCAGATCATTGAGATGTATCCTACTGCGTTGGGCTGATTCTGTACGCACTCAGGACTCTCCTTGAAAAATGATAGGTGACTTGCTGTATGTTTGATGCGCATTAAACTCATCTCTATTCCTGTGCTCAGAATTATTGATTAGTCCAACGGCTGTACTCCTGCTGGTTTGCCATTTCATATCTACATAATAGAGAAAGGCACATTGATTTTGCTATTATCAAAATCCTCTTGTATTTGCACAGTCCTTTCTCTTCCTGCAATTTTCTAATTCCTTCTGGAAAAGATGTTACACATTGTCAAGATCAAATTCCTGAGACATCTTGTTTAAATCAAGGGATTCTTAGCACCTTCTGTTTCTTTTGAACATCCATCTGTGCAGTAATAACAAATTAGAGAGCTACTGGGGCAGGGGGCAGCAGCAAGGACCTCAGTCTATGGCCATACTTGCTGGTATCATGGATCATTACAGCGCATTATACTCACGACACAAATTAGCAAAGCACCTCTTGACAAATTACACTATAAGGTCTTCTAACACAGTAGATATTTAGGGTAACAACAAGTCTAAAGTTTCTAGCCCCACTACAAGGGAATAAAAGTAACTCTAATGCTGTCTCTTACCTTGGAATACCCCATACAGGTATGTGTTGCTCCAGGCTGTTGTCCCCATCAGCAAAATAACCTTCAGCCTTGCTGAACTGGCCTCACTTCAGCTGCTCCTCCTATAAAACCAGGGTCCTGGTTAGGGTGACCAGTCTCATGGTTAGGGTGACTGGTCTCCTAGGTAAACACCCATGTAGATCTGAGCCCCACTTGCCCCACCATCAGAAGAATTTATTTGTGTCACCCCCTCACTCAAAGACTTCATAAGATTTTATTTTTTTTTAAAGTGACAAAATTTCCCAGGAGGAAATTGTGGGCAGGAGAATGCAGATGAAGCTGAGCTTCAGATGATGGGTTTTATCCTGCTCAGCAGCAGAGCTTTCCCTCCAGCCCCCCAGGCTTACAACCAGCTGTGCACCTGCAAACTCGAAACACCTTGCTTTACCTTTCCTAATAAGCATGTAATCAAATTAAGGCAGCAACTCATTATATGTGGTGGTGTCCTTTCCTGCATTGGCTTTCTGCTAATCCAATATCTGGTAATAAACATGGAAACTCCTACAGTTTGGTGTGATATCATCATTATTCTATAGCATATCTGCAATATAAATATTAATATAATATTAAAAATTAATGCACACATTTCTGTTAATAATTAATATTACTCCAATATTAATAAAATTAAACCAAACGTTGGCACAGAACTCCTAAGTGGAGTGAATAAAGGGAAGTGTTTAAACCAGGCTCTTAACAAGCTAGGCACACTGGGGAATGAGGCTTTTCCCTCTCACAAAGGTGTTTCCAGGACTGCAGGCGTTTTGTTCTCTTTTCTCATCTGATTTCTCTTGCAAGGGCCTTCCCTTCCTCCCAGGCAGGTGAGGAAGATGTTCTTGGGATTATTGCCAGGGTGATGCTGAGGCAAACTGAGCAGCGCAGGGAGCTACAGAAAACCTTTCATGGCAGAGCTGGCTGGAGTCTGGCCACCTTTTCTGTCAGTCAAGTCTGCTGTGCCCAAGTCAAACGCCAGCTCAAGGGAAAAGCAGAGGGGAATGCATGGCCATTTACTTTTTGAAATACTTCTTGTGGTCACTGGTTTACCTATTATCACTGTAAAGCAAAGGTAAGGGGCTTTTTTTTTTCTCCCTTCCACTGCAGAAAGAAATTAAAGGCACTTTTCAGGTGTGCTTGGGTTAGGAAATCTCCCCTAGGACGGGAGAAAAGATAATTGATTAGGAAAGAATTGGGATGCGAAAGCTTAATCCTCCTTCCAGAATGATCTCTCAAATCAAGTAACCTTCATCATGAGCGTCAATTAATGAGAATTAAATTACTAAAAGGGGAGTCATAATAGTTATTGCCAAGTGACTATAGCGGGGATGTAGGACAGTGAAGGTTTGCCTTTAAGCTCTTCTACGCCAGCGCTCCGGCGGCAGCAGGGAAGGGTGTGGAGAAGCCCCTCGAGGACAAGTACAGGATAATGTCACTCTCAAAGAAGCACCTTCCTAATGCCCTGTGCAGGAGCATCTGCAGGACACAAGTAGTTGGACCTCCTGTAGATGGTGTGCACTTTGAACTCATGTAATTGGGGCTGTTCTCATTACCCAGACAAATGCCTAATGCCACAAGTTAATTGGCACAAATTACGACTACAAAGTTGCTCTGCTCTTGTCTGATAAACTCTCCTAGGAGTTCAGTTTGGCAGGTCTAAGGCAGACATCAGATGTAATTGTCCGCTTATTTACAATGATATAAACCAGGATTATTACCTTCAGTCGAGTCACTGGTGATTTATGCCAGGGCGAGATGAGAAGCAGGGCTGGTGTTTCCTCATACAGCTCGTCATTTTGTGTGCCATGACAATATGTTTCGGTAAAAGGGATTGGTGCAAGAGATGGGACGTATCGTCTGGGCTTCTTCTGTTTTCCCGCTTGGTTTTCCCTTCGAGTGTAAATTGAAGTCCATGGTATTAAGAGAATTTTGTACTGACAGACATGGACAGAACAGCAACCCCCAGGCTCCCCGCGCGTTCCTCCTCTGCAGACTCAGGCGGTGTGGGTGCACAGGGTGTTTGGGGAGCCCCGCTATTGAGTGACAGTGGTAGGATCAGGTTTGGGGTGTTTGTTTTTAAATCCCGGTTTCGGGAATTTCTGCAGTGCTCGCATGTCACTGCATTAGCATGGGAATGAGCTGGTCTTTCACCAGCACGATCCAGCCCTTTGGGTTAGGGGTGAGCCCCTCTCAGACTTCAGATCTGATACAGGCACTTTGTACCTGATCACATGAATGCAAACCATATAAAAAATTACCATTTGGTGGCACCTCAGGCTTTCTTTTTTTCCTACAAGACCTGAGCCCGTTGCCACTTGCGCAGCTGCTGTCTTACCACTGCAAAGGGTGAAGCAAAATATCTAGGCTTTGGAGTGGGAGCCCTGGGGTTGGGCTGTCCCGAGCCAGAAAGATGCAATCTTGTCTCTCAAGACATTTATTTTTCTAACGTGCGTACGATCCACAAGGATCTGGCAAAATGACAAGACCAGTTGCTCCTTTCTGTCTAGCCAGCGAGGCTGTGGAGCCCAGTGGAAGGTACCTGGTAAACTCACTGGGGCATTTCTCATCTTCTCCAAGTAATACAGGTGTTTGCCTTGATACAAGCATGTTAACTTCTCTCAGCCCACCCCCAGCAGCAGCAGCAGCAGCAGCAAAGCACTGATTGTGGAAAGATGACTGACTTCACTTTTCCAGTTCCAGCATATGTTTGCCTGTCTGAGAGCAAGAAACGTGTGAAACTCACACAAACTATTGGAATTCCAGCTCCATGGACTGACAAGGAAATATGAATTTGCACAGTATTTCATAGAAATACCACAAATTTTATGTTTGCTGGGCTAAAGTTGATCCTTTGAGGCACGTGCCAAGAAAAACCTCCCGTGTTAGCTACGCCAAGATTCCTCCATCGTCTAAGACTGCAGCTTGGTTGAGGAGTTCATGCCTTGTAAACTGCTGAGTTTCCCTAAAAGCAGCCAGAGGCATATAATCTTTTGCAAAGCTACCCGTAAGGAGCTCTGCTAGCTTGGGTGAATCAAGTATGTGATAACAGATTACACTGAATAAAAATGGCAAACCACAATGACAAAATAATGTTATAATATTAAAATAAATCAAATCATATACTGCCATTATTCTGATACAGAATTTTTACACAGCAAATTTGATACATATACAAGAAGTCAGGCAGCCCATTACAATAAACTTCAGGGTTCCTTTTTTAATATAAACTACATCCTAATACATAGTTTGAGATGATCAGGTAGTTTTACACCAACTTAAGTAACAACAGCTTCTTCTCATCTTAGAATACTAAAATAACAAAATCTTTTAATGCTTTGAATATTGAAATGCTTTGGTTCCACCTGCCACTTTTAAAAAGTGTAAAAACTACATCTATTGGTTAAACTTTTACCCTAGAGATGCGCCTAACTTACAAACACAGTTATATTAATAAAGAGACGAAATGTAATGTAAATACAGTTTTTTGGCAATCCTCATATGCTTCACGCTACGCAATTATTTAACTCTCAGTTCAATTCAGGCATTCCAAGGTGTAAAAACACGGCCAAAATTTTCCAAAACTGACAACAACCGTGGATGTTTTCATTCTGGGGTTAAACTAGAACCACGAAGACCACGAGACAGTTCAGGAATCGTTAAGCTGCTGCCCTCTGTAAGCAGTATTGCTTTAGCAGGTGTCATTTTGCTCACCCCAAAATGAAAGCATCCACCACCACGAGTCCCTCCCGAAAACTCCGGCCACCTCAGCAAAGTATCTCATCTTCAGTTTTAACGTTGGTGAGGCAGGAAAGTACGGTAAAGGATTTCCCCTGGCAAGTACCTTGTTTGTCACAATAACAAGAAAAAAAGAATACATCGAGTGGCTCTTTCTAGCGCAGAACAGCTCCTGCTAAAAAAAGACATCTTCTTTTCTGAAGTCCGGTAAACATTTGAATTTGCTGGGAGAAGTCCGTACGCAGGCCAGGCTGGGGAGACACGGGCAGGCGTGGTGCATCCGCCGCCCGGAGAAGGGAACCTGGGGACAAAGAGCACAGACGTCAGGGACCGGCAGCACAGCGACGGTGGTGCTTTTTTTTGGGGGGGGGAATAGATTCGGATGAATAGTGGGGATATGGGGAACACCGCCCGCCTCCCTCCACCACAGGAGATCCCCACGAGCTGCAGCGTGGGGCTGGAGAGCAGATGGCAAAGCCAACCCCATTGCATTTCCCGGCCAAGCGACGGTTAAGAGCAAAATGCAACGGTCCGTGTTGCTGTGTAAATCTTCATCTGTGACACATGTTCTCCGTTTAGTCTCGTTTCATAAAGGAGTCTGTTGTGAAACTACAGTGGCCTTCAGCATCACGTTCTGCGGTGTTCACTGTGCAGGGGTTCCTGCCTGCCCTGGTTCCTTCATTGTCACACGGCACAGAGCAGCCCGTCAGCTGCGCAGCAGGACCCGGGAACTGCAGGATCCCGTGGTAATTCAAGCTGAAAGGGATGTCTGGAGGTCATCTCGCCTGACCTCCCTTTGAGCAGGATCCTTTTCGCCACAGGGCAGAGGTTTCTCCTTTCATCCCACCCTCCTCCAGCCATGCCGTGTTGCAGGGAGCACACCTACAGGCCGCATCGAGCAAATTTAATTGCGCCACGACCTGCACACGCACTCTTACTCTTTAACAACTTGATCACAAGCTCTGTCTTTTACAGGAGCTGTCTCTGCCACGAGCCCACGAGCCAAGCCGAGCAGGACAGCCTGGTGGGACAGCATGGCCGGGAGCTGTGATGCTGCCGGCCAGCAGCACGCGCCGAGCATCCAGTGGGATGCAGCGAGGGAAGCACAGAGGTACAAAGCCACCGCTGCCAGCTGGCAGGCAGCCCTAATTCCCTCATTTCCAGCTTTCTGGGTGTTTTGAGCCTGTGATTTTAAGATTCTCAAGTTGTTTTGTGTCAGTATGGAAATTTTCTCTTTAAGAAAGTTGAACGGAGAAAGTCCCACATGGTCCCCCCACGCACCATGCCAAGGACCTGCCCGACTCCAGTGACACCTCCCCGGGTGAGGGGGATGAGCCGGGGTGGGGGCTCACATCACCTGCGGTGCCCCGGGCCAGCGCCAGCCCCCTGCCCAGCACCATCTGAAGAGCAGCCCCAGAGCAAGGGACGCCATGGGCTTCCCCGTGCCATCCACCACAGCCCCTCTGCCCCGGCGTGAGCGGAGAGGCCACCAACCATAGGTGCCGGGGACTCCCTGTGGGAATCACACCTCTTGGGTGCCCACGCATCGCACTGCAGAAAAACCTAAAATCTGAGTTCCTCAGGCTGGTGAGGCTGACTCAGAGGTCCCTCTGACAGCTCAAGTGATTTATTCAAAACGTTACATTCACTGCAAGGAAACGTTCCCTTCAGCGGGACTCCCACGCCGAAGACGTGGCTTAATAACACACCCGGCTGGGGACAGGCAGCGGGTGACAGCTCCGCAGGACAGGCGCTTTGCCGGGGCGTGCAGCTTCTGCCTGCACAGGCAGAGCCCGTGTGCCCGGAGCTGGTGCTGGCGATGCCGGCTGAGCCGGTGAACGCTTTGCCACGCCGTGTGCCCAGCGCTGCGTTGAGCACGAGGCAATGGGGGTTTGTAGGTGAAAAGGAAACAAGGCAGCTCCTGGGAGAGCCGTGGGGGGTTCTAGGCAAGGTCCACAGGGGCAGCAAAGCCACCGCCGCGCTGCCAGCTCTGCCTGCTGACCCGCCAAACCTCACCTGCCTGGCCCTGCCCGCCAACCCTGCCTCTGCAATGCCAACTGAGGTGGTTAACGGCACCAAGCCGACGCCATCTAGTTGCTGAGAAGGAGACTAGAAGGTGGAAACCCAGCTGCCAGCCATCTCCCCCAGGGCATCGCCAGGCTCCTCTGGAGGTCTCCGAGGCGGTGGCATGGCCCGTGGTGGTGCCTGCTTTGTACCTGACCTGCAGGCAAATGGAAGGTTTTGGTGCTCCGAGCAATTGGTCTCCCAGCTGCCCCCTACCCAAATATTTAGGGGAGAGGAACTGTCGAGCAAACTTTCCATACCTGATTTCACATACTACAGTAAATCAATTTGCTTTGTGTTTGTCATGAAGAGTAGTGGTGTGAGAAATCTAACCCTAAAATTAACCTCATAAATATATAAGCATCAGTGACTATGACTGTAAGTCTGGGGTGGACAGGCATCTTCTCTGATTGCAATTATGCAGGCAATTAGCTTAAAATACATCAGACAGTCTAAATTATTGCCCAATAGCAATAAGCCCATAAAAACCCCCTAGAAGGCAATTTCTCTTATCTTGAGACTCCTGATAATGTAAAGAGCCCTTACAAGAAAAACCTGCTACATTACATAGTAAAAATGAGAATTTGGTCCCCAATATCACAGCAGAAGACTTAAAAAATTAACTGCAATAGAACAGAGCCTTGAACTTCCTAAAACTGAGAAAACAAACCGTAGATATCGAGCTGAAAAGTCAGACATTGGATGAGACAGTGAGAGAGGCAGCTAACTAGCTGCACATTTATAATCTAAATTTATTGTCTTGATATCTTTCACATGGGATGACTCTTGGGCCATACTCTTCCCTGAGGATAGCTCTGAAGACCACCAGGTTCTCAAGCTCCTTGGTTACATCCCATTCAGTCTTTTGTACTAAGCAAACAGCCTTTTTCCAAGTACATATAATATACATAATTACATAGCCTTAAATAAATGTATGTGTTAATATCATTATATTCATAATATAGTGTATCATATAATAATGTACTAATATGTAACTAGTGTTATATACGTGTGTGTACGTGTATACATATATATATTTGAAATTAATAGGTAGAATAGAAGCAAAGCGAGCCTGCGGTGAGTTTCCTCAAGCGCGAGCGTGTGTCAACACCTTCTCGATGGCTTTTTTTGAAGGCACCAGTGGCTCTCGGCCTCTGGAGCACAACAGGGCATTGCTGTTCGACGCAGGGACCGTGCAGCAGTGATGCACCAGGTCTCCCAACACCGGCTGGTGACGTTTTTGTGCTTGTGGTGGGATCTTGTCCAGTTCCACTGAGGTCAGTGGCATTTGCTACACTCCTGCTGGCACACGTAGGCATCGGCAGGGTTGGGCTTGGGAACTGCGAAAGCTGTTTCGGATCATGTAATGAAGCGAAACAGCAACAACAAACTAATAAGAAAACAATCTGGAAAACGTGTAGTACTTTCATCCTTGGATTGTCTTCAGCATAATTCTGACAGTAATGTATTTCCTTACGTAGGTACCTTCAGCACTATTTCCATACAGATGCAAATGCCGGTGTATTGTAATGCACGGGATGTTTCCTCGCCTTTTCATCACGTATAGTTTTTATGCAGTGTGACGTACAGAGCAGTATATTCCTGTTTCTTTCTACCCTGCCAGCTCCGGTCCCACAGCCCCCCCGGTGACGTACTCACTCGGTGACTCAAAGGATGGCACTCCTCTCCCAAATTTCCCATCGGCGTGCACATTCGCAGGCTGCGGATCCAGAGGCTTACGGCACAGCACATCCCTCCTCCGCACTGCTGGTCTCGGTCGCAGGCCTGGAGTTCAAGACAGCATTAGGCAAATAAAATGAATAATAACCATATTCCAGAAACAGGACAGATCAGAGCAGCTCAAGGGTTGCCTCTGACACCCCATGAGTTATCATGGCTCATTAAGGCTGAATAACAAGATTTAAGGCTGATTCGCAACATTTTTTATCTCCCGTGGTTCTGCACGTACAGGCTGCTGGCACGTTTCAGAGTTAAACCCAGGATGTTTAAAGCCACGACCATGTACAGAGCTGCTCAGGGCCAAATCCAGGACTGTCAGCGATTTACTGAGCCAACTTGTGAGCACTGACGGACCGTGGCACGTGCCACTCTGCTTTCACAGATCGGAGCCCAAGTGAGCTCAGGCAGGTGCAAGGACCAAGGGCACCAAACAGTCAGGAATGCTGTCTTATGGAGAAGCTAAGATAGGGAATTATCCATTAATTTAAAGACTTTTAAGTAACTATTCCTTCTAGTTTTTTTTATGATATGTTGCCTTTGCAAATACAAGACTGCATGATAGTTTTATTAAAGAAGTCCAAGTGGAAGTAGCTAAAATAGAAGTTTAAATATGGATTCTGCGGTTGTTAACTAGAATTACATGTAACTAAAAAGAGGTCTTAAGTGTGTAAGAGAAAAAGCTTTGCCCAAGTGTCCACATCCAAGAAAATGCTACCGTGGTAGGATTCCCCCCTGCAAGGGAAGGGGCGGTGGGGATTATTTCAGCCACTTACCCAATACAGCTTAGATAAGCACAAACCAAAATGCAAACTATTGGGCATGTTTTAAAAACCATGAAGAGCAATTGACATGTTTGGGTTTGGAAAAAAGGTTACTGCTCATCTTTTGCCAAAACCTTATCGGACTTTTTATGACACGGATTTCATGCACAGGATAGCCTCCTTTCTCCGATGAGAAATGCCATTACTTAAAGGTTCTGATTACACCCCAAAGGTAAGCTTCGTTATCTCACTATTGTTTTAATGTCTGACAGCAGAAGTGATAAACCAAAGGCACTGGTCAGCAGCACATAAAGAGGCAACTTGTAAAAATGTACATAAAAGATGATAACGGCTCTGGGGAAGACTGCGTGTCAGAACAAACATTCGCTTGAGGGGAAAAAGCTTACAGATCTTACCTTGGGATTTATGTGATAAATGCCATTGGCCTGTACTCTACTGGGTAAATATTACACTAGTTCAACCAGCAGAAGTCAGATCAGAATACGAAGAGATCAGCCAGTAATTTAGGAAAAAGCTGTTGCATTAGGGTCAAGCCATTAATTAGTGTGTGTAACCCAAATGGCTAGCACTCCTCCTACACACGCATTTAACGGAGCAGACAGCTCTATGCTACAGGTGAGCCCAAACACCCCGAGTATTTACTTACAAGACTAATATGGCCATAAAACTACCACTGCAGCCTGCCAGGTAGATAATGTTTACTTTCTAATATCTCTCTTAAAAAAAGAAAAAAGGTGCTCTAATGGTGTAATTTTGCCCTAGTCACAAAAAAATCTGCAGGTCCAGTGAGTCTGGCTGCCCCTGGGATGCCAGCGTCCACAGTTGGAGTCACGGGCTCTGCTATTCCCCACCAGTCAGCTCCTGACTCCCTTTTTTCCTCAGTTGTATACCTCAAATCCCATCCATCTCCGTGGGACTGGTCCTGGAGTGAAGTACCCCTCAGCCACAAAGGTCTGAGTATATCCTGACAAGCAAGGCTACCTACAACGCTGTGCTGAACAATTTAACACACACATACATAGACCTGGCAGAACGTTTAAGGCCCCCTTTCCAAAAAGGTATGACAAGTTTTGAAAATATTCAACCCAAACGCTCCTACCCACACCTTATCTGCAATGTGTCATTCATACTACTACTCCTGATCTTCACAGGACACAACAGGAAGGACATCCCTCTTCAGCACCCCATTTAAACACAATTTTGTGGAAAATTCAGCTCGTGGAAAAAGTCCCAGGTGACACGCCAGCTCCAAAGGCAACTGAAGTCAGCACGTGAACCAGCGCTGAAGTGAGGAAGGTTTGAATCAAGTACTTAAGTGGCAAAGGGAAAGCACCTTTCAGGCTCAGAGGATGGGGACGGGAGCACCTACGTCAGCTCTTCTCCGAGATTTGCCTGTTCACCTGAAGCCAAAAATGCATCAAAGTGGTTTAAGCAGAAACGCACTGCGGAAGTTAATAAAGTAACATTTTCTAGTTCTAATCTATTTTTGATTTTTGAATCTGCTTTGTCCTTGATCTATTATTCAGTGCTTCACAATTCCTTTATTTAATGGATTAATTATGCTCTAAAGGTGTAGCCACAACTCTGATAACAGACTTACATAAACTGGTCCTCCGTTGCTGGAAATACTTCTACTTAAAAGGAACTTGAAATTCTCAAATATTAAAAAATTCCTTCACACTCCCTGCTCTGGGAACTGATCTGACATCCAGAGAAATGCCTATAAGCTGTTTCATGGACTTCGGTGCCGTCCGGACAGGCAGCCTGGACGGCCACGGAGTAATCGGCTGCTGCGTGCACGACTTCTGATGGTTACAAAAGATGTGTAAGGAATGCAAGCGCTGGGTTATTAATCCAAAGCAAACACTAAAAAAATCGTTTTACTTCAGAGTGATGCAACTCTTTGCGTTAAATAACGTCTTTGGAAAAAAAATATTTTCACAACCAAAGTAAATCTCAAGCCTAAAAACAACAACAACAACAACAGAGGACTCATTTGCAAGGGGTGGCTATTGAGTTGAAAAAAAAAAGCAGCACAGTCATACTCAAAAAAAAAAAAAAAAAAAAAGGCAGCGTTTTGGGATGATTGCGATAGCGGTGCCTGCCCTGTGTGCGGTAGGACTGGAGGAGCTGGAGGAGCTCGGGGTTCACAAGCGGGAGGTGCGGTGCTCCAGGCTGGGCCCTTCTGGGGCAGGTTTGGGGGCAGGCTGGGGGCTGCATGGGGAGGGAACAGACACCCTCCAGCCTTGGAGGAGCAGCTGGAGCCTCTGCACACTCACGGAGCAGCCTGGAGGCATCCACACCCCCACACACACCCCCCGGCGAGTGCAGGCATCCCTCACCCCAAAGGGACAGACCCCACATCGTGGTATTCCTCACCCCAGAGCCTCGCAAGTACTGCTGTCACCGACCGCAGAGACACACACACACCACACCCCCCATATCCTGGCATCCCAAGAGAGACCCCCCAAGCTCCCGTGTCACTTAGTCCAAGGAGATCCCCAGCTTCAGGCATCCCTCACCGCA